TTATGTAAGCTAGATCAGGAAGCTCTTGGAAATTTTCCCCACTAACTGGCAGAGGAAAGGGGGGAATCTGAGAACATTGTGCTTATGGAGAAGGTCTAAAAAGGTACCGGGTGAGTGGGAGGAGTGCGTTCGCTCTGCTAAGACTGTGGCGCGGAGATAAATGCAGGGGAGGGCTTACATCACTTCCGGCCTTTGTTCTGGACTTTATTTCCAAAGGCTTGGAATGCAATTCCTGTCAAGGGTGAAGGAATTCAAAACAAGCCCATTGACTCCATGCAGCGTGAGCAGGAAAGCGTATTTGTGATGTGGTGTTTGCTGGTAAGAATGCGACGGTTCCTGCACCACACCCTCCATGCATCCTGTACTAAGCCTGTCCCCTGTCTTTGAGAGCTCGACAATAACTCCGAAAGACCCACCTCCCAGGCCACATGGGGCCTCTCTCAAATAAACGCCTCGCAGAAAAACACCAATTGATCTGTTTCATATTAGATTATGATATTTATGCCACATTTATTATAATACAGTAGTTTTGTAATAATGTCTGCAGATGGTTAACAAGGTGGTGGGTAAACCTTAATTTAGCTTAAACTATATTATCCCAGGCACTATTTACTAGCACTATCTAAACATTTATCAGTAATCTAAAATTTAACTTATGCGTAATCTATAAATTACTAATAGGTCACATATACCCGGTAATTTAACTAACTTGTTGTTGTTTCATGAATGACGACGCAAACCTGATATCCATCAATAATTCATGGCTGTACGTTTGACACTTACTGATCCTGTCCTGAGCCCTGCCAGCTTGTTTTAATCCTATATTTTGTAAAGGACAGCAACGTCTTAAAAAGGACATTGCTGCCTTGGAAGGGTGCAACGTAGGGCTACAAGAATGATTCCTGGTCTTACAGGAATGTCTTATGAGGAGAGGTTAGCTGAGCTGAATCTGTTCAGCCTTGAGCAAAGGAGACTAAGGGGGGACATGATCCAGGTCTATAAGATTCTAACGGGTCTGGATGCTGTTCAGCCAAATGGCTATTTCAATATTAGTTTAAATACTAGAACTCGTGGCCATAAGTGGAAACATATTTAAATGATGTCTTTCTTCTGAGAGGTAAAATGGAGAACTGTGTACTGTATATATATTTATTATTATCCATTGCTCCATTCAAAGCACATTGTAACTGTTGTTAAAACTTATGGCAACTTTAAACTAGCAGCTATATTGTCAGGCCAATGGGACTGATAGAATTTCTGAGCCTGTATGATAACGGCTACTATGCAGACATCCAGTTTGACAAAGCTGCTCCCCACTTGTTCTCCTGTTCGCAAGTCAGCAAATCGAAACGTTCTTTAAATTCTGTGATAGTGCCCCAACCGCACAGATCTCCAGGATCACGGGGTCCTGCTTTCTTCACGGCTGTTCGCAGACGAGCAGATCTGTCTGTGCTGCGCTCACTGTCCACTTGACGGGCAATATCAACGGTACCGCTCAGAAAAGTCGTCACATGCAGTCTGCAGCTTTCTCAGGCAGGCTTCCGCTACTGAAGCATATAATCGTGCAAATTTGAAAGAACCGGCTCTGAGCCAGTCATGAGCTGCGGTTCCTGACCCCTCAATCGAGTTGTCAGTCTAGACTCCTCATGTTTCACCGTGGTTTCCAGCCACCGGTCTGACCCCAGCCGTCGCTCACTCAGCTGTGTCTCATTAGCCACAGGCTACAACGGCGATGCTACGTTTACGTAATGTGATGCAGAAGATGCTGCCGCATGATACAAAGAAACAGCATACGTTGCCTGACGTCACCTTGGAATTTGGGTTTGAGCCATGTCTTAATCTAACTCAGGGATTTAACCACATGTTATTGAGGATAAAACAATGTTGGGTTTTTCTCTGATAGTCAAAGCAGGTAAGTTAGAGTTATATCTGGCCCCCATCTTCGAAACTCGAAGTCTCTCATGTTTCCTTTAAAAAAATCATTAGGCCTTAGATTGCAATAACTAAGATGTAAAACTTATGGTTACACTTAGTGGTAACAGCAGAGCACCAGAGATTATTATTGATGTCCCTAATTTAGAAAACCATTTATTTAAATTTAATTCTTTCCATTTGGTCATGCTACCCAAGACTAAATGTAAAAAAGAGTGCGGCTGTATAGTTCGACATTAACAGTCAGAATGAAGATTTAATAATTTAGCTTCATTAATAAGATAATGAACTGAAAAAGGACAGTAAGCTATTCGATGGCAATTATTGCTGTAAATGTCCCCCATCCTGTTTCGAAGTAGAAACATTAAATTTGGCATAAAATAACTGAACCGCTGTTCCAAATATAGCACACAGTGAATTTGATTAAAATGTTAAACAAGCCAACATCTGTCATATCTTTTCGGTGATATTCAACAGAATGCCTGTGATAGATCTTATTCTGTCCTTGGTTGACGGTCCATGACAAATATTCAGTATTTGGCAGCAAAAGAGAATTTTCTCTTTGCTCACATTGCAGAAACATACGCTTTTGCCACTAAAACAGCCAAGAACTATTTCTTTGATTTGGATCTGACAGACTAGGTACAACTAGCAACGGTACAGCAGTTTACAACTGTGAATAAATTATTGTACAGATTTTGATGAACTTTTGTTATGTACAAGAATATAACTTTTATGCTGTTCTAGTCATCATCATCATCATCATCATCGTCATCATCATCATCGTCATCAAAGGTATCATGGTGCTTCTCCGGACGAGGGCTGCAATGGCACTTTACCAAATTGTTCCGATCAGATTTCTCTGTCCAAGGCACCCGACTCCGGCTCGTTCTGTGACGCCCAGATGTTCCTAAGCTAGCTGGGAGGTATAATCCTCCAGGATGTCCTTGGTCTGCTCTTAGTCCTCTGCCCAGTGGGATGTGTCTGGAATGGTTCCCTTGGGAGCCGACCAGTTTGCTTCCTTATACTGGCTCCTGTTTGCTCCTCCACACCTTCTTTTTCAAGTTCCCTTTGGATTTTCAAACTACTCACCGTTTTATTGAGAGTGAGTCTGACAACCCTGCAGAGAAACATCATTTTTGTCCCAGGTACTTTTTACTTTGATTATTACACAGAGCTGATGACTACAAAAGTGGACAGAGTCTGACTAGTAAACCACAGGCCTCATCTGACGGCTTCCTGTTTCACCACCAAGGACCAGAAAAGTCTCAGTATCTGAAAAATAAGGCATGAAACTAACCTGCCTGTCAATCTCATTCTCCTTGTACCATCATCTGTGAACGAGACCCTGAAGTACATAAACTTCTTTATAAAGGGCAGACTCTCCCCCTCACAGCCTCACAGCAACAGCCAACTCTTTTTGGAGGGATTACTATGGCCTAGGATTTGGAGGATCTGTTTCTCATCCCTGCTTGGCCTGCAAAGTAACTGCAAAGTCAGTCATGGAGCTTTAGCCCAGTGTGCTCTTGTATAATGCATACTTATGTGCATCTTTGTGTTAAAACATATTGTTCATAAAACCATCCCTGTCTAGCACAGTCCAATGAATATTTACCACTCGACTTTAGATCCAAGAAGCCATTCCTCCCAATCAGGCCACTTTGGATAACTCCATCATTTCCCACATGGAAGCGGTGTTAGAATTGTGGTAGAAGTCTTTGGGTGTCAACTGGTGCCCAATTAAGTGCCGGGGCGCCTCAGGTCGTTCACTAAGAGGAACTTCAAAGCAGGACAGAATTCACCCCTGATTGAGATGCTCGGTTCCAGAGCCGGCACTATGTATGGGAGGAAGGCTGACTGTACCTTGCTGATATGTTTCAATCTCCTGCACTAACTCAGGCTCCTTCCCAGCCAGAGAGGTGACAGTCCACATTCCCAGGGCCAGGTTCCATCATCAAGGTCTGATCCATCTGGGACTTTCTTGCTTACGCTTGCTGCCCAAATGGCACTGCACCAGGGCCACTGTAAAGGGGGAGGGGGAGTCAGGACGATTCCAAGGGCCCTTGAGTGACAGACACCTTAAAAAATTTGTGCCACCTTTGGAATGGTCTGGGTTGGCCAGCTATGAGGTCACCCAGGTCCGGACCTCGGTAATTTTTTAAAAGCTAAAAATAAAATTTGAAGCTAAATATTCACCTGAATAAAAAGGCTAACCAACATTTCACATAACTAATTACTTAAAAAAATAAACAGCTTATGAAGGGGGCGGTATCAATAATGTGATTGATGAGACGCACCCCCAACCCCCTCACTGTTTTTCAAACCCTGGCTGCAGCCATGTGGGTTGGTTGACTAAAGAGCTTTCTTGGGGTCCACAGTGTCTAGTGGTACCCCTCGAGTTTGAGTCAACTTGTAAGTGCAGGTACTAAAGGTGTATTTGAATTTGGTGATCAGTGATCATTGTTGACATACCACAGCACACAGTGCACAATAACGAAATGTGTCATCTGCATTTAAACCATATGTGACATTGTGACATCGCAGGGGGCAGCTATTTCAGCACCCAGGGAGTAGGGCTTGGAGGCGTTACCTTGCTCAGGGTACCTCAGTGGTGCTTTGTTGGTTGGGGATTCGAACCAGCAATCTTTCGATTACAAGTGCGCGTCCGTGAGCTTATGTAAATCTATTAAAGTCATTCTTTAGCAAAGACAGAAGGAACTGGGCTATGGTCTTGATTGCACTGGATAACGCAGTTCCACTCTTATTTTTGGATATCTGAATGAAATTACATGCATTTGAATCCAGTGCCCTACTTTTAAGTCTGAGTCTGATTTTTTCATGGCAGAGATGTGGATGGGGGAGGAGTCACTAATGTCCTCTCTGGTGCCTTAAAAAGAAAAAAATGAATTTGGGTCTTCTTGGTTAGGAAGTCCTGTTTATAAAATACTGGAGAGAGGCTACTGTACTTTACAGCCATTATTATCATTGCACAGTTTTTTTGCATGTGTCACAGATGTTCCACCTGAGAGAGCCAGTTAAGCATGGCTAATCATTGCCCAAATGATAGATTGGGGAATATGATGAATTCTTTATTTGCCATTTGCACTTGTATGAGTACCGGTAAACTGGAGTTCTTCCAATCACGAGAATGCAGGGATATTATCATTACCTGGGCAAAGGCCACATAAAAAGCTAAAATTCAGAGATATTAGTTTGCACTGTGAAGAGAACCAAAAAAGCGACACAGAAGTAGCCTATACTGTATGTATCTTGCGTGTCTAGTTGGACAAAGAGAACTTTTCAGGCCTCAGTCCCACAGGAGGTTTCCACAGCAAACTGCTCACAAGACCAGAAACCGCTTTATTCATGTGGGACAGTTTTGGAGTAGAGAATGATAGTGTGGAGCATTGTCTCCCACAATGTTCACTGCAAACAGACACGAATACGCGTTCCGACAGAACAAAGTGCTCGGCTTCAGCACTAAGTATTGCTGGCAGCTCCAAAACGGTATGGGGCATGACTCTCTGGCTTTGCCTACAGCCAATCATTCAGTCAGAAGCAGAGTGTGCATTCCAATATAACAGTCACGTTGTGCCATCATGATTCTTCCATGCTGGGAGCGATGACTTTAAGGGATGACAGTGCTTCAATCCACAGGCAAAACCTTGTCAACTTGTGGTTACAGAAGTGCAGAAGCCTTGCCAGTTATTGAGCCTTAGTCCTAAAGAACATGTGTGGGACTTTCCAGCTGGACCAGAGGATCTCCTTGATGAGAACTGGTGCCAGAGTCATGCAGAGCAGGCACAGTCTTTGTTGACTCCAAGTCAAAACATAGCTTTCGATACATGTGCTAAGCCAGAAACCTTCCTATCCTGTTTGGGTCCATACTTCTCTAAAAACATTTGTTCTTCTTTTTTGGAATTATTATTAACTGGCTTGACAAACCCCTTTTTAAACTAGAAGGTAATTTGTGCCTGTGGTTCAATCGTACATTTTGAATGTATATTTAATGGCACTATATTAATGTTGTTTACTTAAAATGTTTAAGCGCTACACAGCACTATACTTTAGTGTTACTCTATGGTTACACTTTGCTCCATTATCTCTGCACTTTCTTGAAAGAAGTTACAGACAAATAAGTGCTAGAAAGCACACAAATTCTCACTATGAGAAGATGCCATATTTAAAATTTATTTCTTACCAAAAATAATATATTCCAGTAATGTAAACCTTACAACAAATCCCCTTTTGCAGTGGCTATTGTTTTTAAACGACAGAAGTGGTCTTTGTGCTCTGTGGGAGTGCAAAGAGCTGGACTAAAGACTTCAGGCAAACAATCATATGCTCACGTGTCCAATGGGTCATTGCTACTGGCCTTTCAAACACTCTGTCAGGTCCCCTTTGACGCAGGTCCGTTTCCTTCACAAGTAAGATTTTTATTGTTTTGAGGGAGCAGACTCCAGAATCTCTCTCCACCAGCCACTTCCTTCTTCCTCTCTCACAGGAAATACTGCAGCAACTCACTTTTTTTTCTTCTACTTCTTCCTTTTTTTCTCAGCCAAATCTGCAGAATAGAGTTCAGAATTACCCCACACGGGTTCAGCTTAATGGAAAGAAAAGATTCCTTGAGAAGAAAGATAGCAAAGCCACTAGTGACAGCAAACAGCTTGACCTGAGTGAATTTTTACCACGGCCCAAGGACAGTGCATCCCCATGGTGCCGGAACACATACACAGCCCAACACAGACAGCAGCCTGGAAGCCAAACACACTGAATGGCTACAGAAGCCTTTGGGAAATATATGTACATATAACCAAGCACATCCTCACTCATTCAATTCATTAAAAGCATCACATATTAGTAAATACCTTCAAAAATAAAACATCAAAATGGTAAACATTAAAAACATTAAAAACTTGTATACATCATTACAGTATATGCAGAGGGGCACACTGACTGGTGGCTATCACTGTTGTCTCACAGCTTGAGCTTTAGGAGTTTAAATTCTGCCTCTGCTCTGGGTGTGGAGTTTACATATTCAGCTTGTTCTACTGCTGGCGTGAATTTCCGCTGGGCTTTGCTCTGTTTCCTCCCACAGTCCAAAGACATGCAGTTAGGCTAATTGGTGTCTCTAAATTGCCCATAGCGTGTGTGTGTATTGTGTTTTTATTACATTGTGGGGACCAAATGTCCCCCACAATATGATAAAGAATTTTTTTATGTTGTGGGGACATTTTTCAGGTCCCCACAAAGATCTGTGACTGCAATCAAAAAATTAAAAATCAAAAAACTACAAATATTTTGTTTGGTTAGGCCTGGGTAGGGGTCAAGGTCGTTATGTTGGGATTAGGATTTTCCCCATATAAATGAATGGAGAGTTCCCACAAAGATATAATTACAAACCTCTGTGTGTGTGTGTGTGTCCCCTGTCCTGTGATGGACTGGTATCCCATCCAGAGTGTCCCCTGCCCTGTGATGGACTGGTATCCCATCCAGAGTGTCCCCTGCCCTGTGATGGACTGGTATCCCATCCAGAGTGTCCCCTGCCTTGTGCCTGGTGATGCCTGGCATAAGCCTCAGCCTCCATTTGACCATGTTTAGGAAGAAAGCTGGAAGTTTTCTGGGTAGATAAGCACAACATGTCAAGGTTTTTCAGGTAGCCTGTTAACGAGCCCTTTAATAAACGCACTTAAACTATATCCTGTACTAAATGACTTAGCGATTAAAAAACAAATTTGGTTGATTATTTATGCTAGCTCCTCTACTATGTTGGTCTGCATGAAAGAATGATGTGGATAAGATGTAATGCTACTTAAAACATATATTGTAAGCATAGAAAACGTGAATTGTACCTTTGGGTTAATGCCATGCATTCCCAGCAAACTTGTTGACTGTAACCATGGTAGCAGCACATTGTTGTGATTACTAATTGGCAGCATAAATAGCATTTTGTCACACCAACAGACTATGAAACAAATGTTTTTGCAAAGGTATGTAAAAGCTTCAAATTAATCAGATCCTTCCCTGCTGAAGTTCACCTGCTTTGGCAAACCAGCAACCAGAATGATTGCAGCTTGACTGCAAATGAGCAATCATTCATCTTCTCCCCTCCTTTTGGGGACTTTTGATAAGCAAGCTGTGAGTCCGTGAGGTCAGTGTGACAAATGGATGACAGCTATTTTTAACCTCCTTCACTGATTTATCAAAAATAAGGCCTTGTACAAGTCTCTCTGTAAGGAGTGTGCAGATGGTAATACTTCGGCTTGTAGTATACAAGCAATAGGAGGGCGATTGTACCCTCAAGCACGTTTCCTAACTTTAAAAAGTAAAATAAATAAAACTGTAATCTGTTGATAGTACCCTTAATTGTTAATGCATGGTTTTATTTTTTTTATAAAAAAAATGTTTTACTTTGTAAACAATATTAAAACGGTCTTGTCGTGATGCTTAATTTCCAAAGTATTTAGTTCCATTATCGCGCTTCTCTGTAAGATAACTGTCTGGAAGGCTTATAGTACATGTACCTCTCCGTAACTTCACAGACAGACATACTGTATACAGTTTTCATCTTTGCTTCCTTTGAGAGGCAACCGACTTCCTTTTACTTGCATTCATAAAATCTAAAGACTATAAACACATAAAACATTGCTTACAGAATATGCTGTTAGGAAAGGGGGTAATACGTACGCTAGACAAGCGCGACTGCAAATCTAATCCTTTTCCTACGGGATTTTAAAATCGTATATTCGCCAAAACGTTGTTTTTCTTTAAGTCATATTACGATTTCTTAGCTGCGTAAAAAATAACATTGTACTTAAATAATTTATAAACGAGTATACTAAGTCGTATAGACATTTCTGTATAGAAAACCCACGTACGGGATATTAAATGGTGAAATTTTGATTCATTAAGCAGTTTGAGCAGGATGGGGCTTGTTTGTTCTGTAAAGACGGTTTTATCAGCTCGAAACACACACAGGAATTCCGGTTTGGGATTGTCCGTCCAATTCCTGACTTCCACAGGAAAGCTTGCATAAAAAGCAACTGAAAAACGCCCAAAGGCATTTCATTTCTTTCCAGGCAGTTCACGGGGCACATCAAGCAATTTACCCGTCGGCCGTATCATAATAAAAAACTTTGGGATGAGATTAAAAGAAACTGAAACCATGGAAGAAGAGGGTAAATCGCCTGTCAAATGGTTACGGCTGCTGTCAATGGCAGCTGCTTTTGGCAAGACTTGAACCTCGTGCAAGTTGAAAGTGAGAGACGGTAGGCGTGCTTTTATACTAGGATAAATCACTATTACATGCTATTTCTTATGTGCATGCGTTTTAAATAAACAAAGTTGTAAATAATCATACAGTTGTATCTATTTGATGTGACTGATTCCTCTTTGCTTCATGATTTGTAGTGTTTTTTTAAATTCTATAAATACTCTTGTAAAATACCGACACAACCGATTTAAAAGGGATATACTGTATTAGTATGTTGTATGTAGTACTGAAAGGATTTGGTACTTTCTCCATCCAGTGGTGTTCGCAACCATACAGTAAGTCAACTATAGCTGTGTTTATGAGAGATAAACTAGTGATTATTTTCGTAAGGTTTCATCTTACGAGGCGGTACTCGAATTAGATAAATTGTCGCTAAATAATTATGGAAAAAATATATTGTGTCGAAGTTGCGCGGTTATTTATGAGTCGGACCCCGATTAAAACTGCGGTAAAGAGGAGATCATATACGGTCCGATGACCTGATGGGACTTAGATGATCGAGGTGGCCGTCATATTTAGTATACCAAAATTTTCGCCACATTAAGACAGCGCTTGAGCTGCGATAAGGGTGAAGTATACAAAAGCAATAGGAGCACGCCCAGATAGGCTTCCTGAACGCAGTAATGGGTCAGGGGGCTGTGGGTGGGTGCATGACCTACTACTAAGGCTCAACCGATAAGGAAACGAGTAGCCGAGACAAGTTTCAACTCTTCGAACCTAATGCTGAATGCGTGCGGTCACCAACCATAAAACAGTATAATATTATGGTAACTTGGATGTAGGTCAAAATCAGTTACTGTAAAGACTTGGCAGAAGCGCACCTGTAAACAGGCGATCATCGCCGCATCCAGCCAGCGATCGGCTGCGTTTTATAAAGGCACTACCAACAGCCCGTTTAAGCATGCAAAAGCTTATTAAAACACAAATACTGCGTAGACTAATGTCTGACCAAATGGTTCGTTTACAAGCTTCAAAGAACTGGCATACTTAACTGTCAATATGTAAAGATATATTTTACGAATTCTTAAGCTAATTTAAGCACACGTAAGGTATCTGAGGTGTGTAGTTATGTTACCTAACTTGCATTAAATCGCTGTATAGTCCATCATTTTTTATAAAGAACGAATCCTTTATATATTGCGTAAATCCATCGAGGAGTTTATTTTGCTAAAAGTATACACTTACCTGAAAGGTAACTAGATGGTGGACGGTAATATCCGTAGCTGCTTATTCTTTAAGCATTGGGTGGTAGTCGATTTATTTCTTTGTAACAAAAATTGCTGTTATTAGACGGGATTGTTCCCGTACACTGATGTCGCTTTTAATGCGTAACGTTTGGGTGTTTCTTTGACCTGTTGCTCAATCATAGCGCTTTAAAGCTGATTTGGTGGGAGGGAGATCGAGGTGCGGGTCCAGGGTGCCCCCCTGCGAGCTCTGATATTTTTCAGCAAAAGTCTACCGAGGACGACAAGCTGCAAACGGGAACGCAAAACAGCAGCTTTAGTAAAGAAAATATTCGAACTTGGGAATTCATTACTTCCTTCTAGATTCAATTTGCTGAGATTTTCGCATTTAGCACATTACAGTGGGAGTGTTTTATTGCTTGCATTGCTGGGGATCGTGGGATCAAAGAAATACCAGCAACCTCACAGAGAAGAGCGCTCCCCGAGTAAGTTTGAAATAATCTCTTTTTTTGCAATGCATTATGTCCGAATGTATTATCTGTAAGTTCATTTGTATCATCAGACTTCTGTCACCGATTTAATTATGTCACAGATTGTGCTTGAAAAAGCAGAACACATGGATATAGTGTCCTCGATACCCATAAAGACGTAACTGTAAAATCTGGCTGTTATAATCAGTAATGTGCTATTGTGGTTTTTACTACCTCCCTGGAGGACAAACTTCATTCATTCTTTTTTGTAGTGTCCCGCACGGTAAAATAACAAAGGGATGCACAAAGATGTGCACGTAACTTACACAAAGTGGCTTGTGAAATAGCGCCCTCTGTCGACCGCTGTTTTTCATAAGCAGCCTACAGTTCAAAGGGCGGCGAATTTGATTTGAAATAATAGTGACAATAGTATTTATAGATTTCTGGTTAAGGCACATGGTTCAGGCACACACAGATATTTATGAGTGTTGCTTGTTACAGTGCAACTGTTATCGTTTAAACAAAAACAATTTTAAAGATGTATGTTTTCATGTTTGATAACCATGTATTTTACAAAAGTGTTCAGCAGCTGTTTCGAGGTGCTACATATTTCTCACTCTGACCCTGTACTGAACTTAACAGTATGGCGTATCAATGGATATTTCTATAATTACTATAATTTGTTAAGTAATTCATTATGCATCTCTATGTTTTACTTTTGATAGAAGCTTAAAACTATCCATCCATGTTCGAACTGGTTAGACAGCCGAATGCTTCAAACGAAATCGAAGGAATCGACATTGTTTTAGCAGCACAAAGTCATATAGCTGGCGATCACCACGGTGATCACCATTTCAGAGCATCGCCTGTGTAGCCTCCCCCCATAACCCCCCCCCCCCCAGAAGCAAACTTTTCTGCTTGTTCTGATCCCACCCACTGTATGGGATTGGCTGGACAGAAGGAGCACTCCCTCGTGTCACTAGTGCTCCTTAATGCTCAGGAACTAAAAGGCTTTGCAATGGTGAATGCCTTTGAAGGAAGACTTGCTGAACATGTGCAAAATTATCGCCATTTATATGATGGGTCACGTCAAGTTTTTAAAGATGTGCAGACAACCTGCAGTTCATGAGAAGGAATTACTTATTTTCACTCTGTATGTGGGTCTGCTGTATGAGAAACATTTTGCTCCTTCTAGTGTAGTGGCGTGACATAAAACGATCAAGACGGTGTCGCTTTAAGATCGTTCACACCTGGGTGTTCAGTTTCATTTTGTCTGGATGTCATAACCACCTTTAGGCACCTTTACCTCTAGGCAATAGGGGTACAAAAGGCAAGACTACGCCCTGTACAGGATGCTAGTCTGTCACAGGGCACTTACTCATGCACACACACATAATAGCATACTGTGAGTACTTTAGAGATACCAGTTACAGGGCATTTACTCATGCACACACACATAATAGCATACTGCGAGTACTTTCGAGATACCAGTTACAGGGCATTTACTCACGCACACACACATAATAGCATACTGCGAGTACTTTAGAGATACCAGTTAGCATAACTGCATTTCTTTGGACTCTGGGAAAAAACAAAGGTGCATGGAGAACACGGGCAGAACCTGCAAACTCCACACAAGCAGAGCTGAGATGGAATTTCTGCTCCCAGTGCTGGAGGTGTGAGGCGGTGGTGCTGCCAACTTTAGCTAATTACATGACCTCGCCTGGAAGTGGCAGACACATTCCTGTTTTAGACGCTCTTGGCTACATTTCATAGTATGAAAAATATGTTTAATTCAATTTGACGTTGCCAGACTCTGTCTAGAATAGTTTCTGTAGCCTCCTTTTGTGGCTGATGCGATGTTACTAACCCCCATCTTGAGTCAAACCCCCCCACCCCGTGGTGTTCCGGGAGTATCGCGTCTCATGCAATAAGTGCTGATAACTGCCTCGGAAAAAATACCCACTTTGGGATGCTTTCCATGAAGGACTTCACTTTGCCAAATTTGTAGCTTAGCCTCTCTATTGGGGCATGCTGCACTGGTTACCCCAGCTGTCCCTGTCACAGTGGCAGTTATATTGTCCTTGTCATTTTATCACCTCCATTCGTCCCTCCTAAAGCTGAGGGCTCTAGCAACACTATTGTCAGTAATTGCGCCCCCATATCAGTGCAATGGCAGTGAGTGGTGAGCTTGGAGCGCAAAGCGGAGCCTGTTTTCTACTGGCTGATCTGGAATCCGCTATTTCAGCAGCCCGAGGCTATCCCTCCCCCAAACCACCGCACGCCCCATGGCCCCTGCTTGGACCTCCATTGGGGAGACCGTTTATTTATGGCTCTGCGTCTGTGAGAAATGAAAAAGAGAGGAACATAAGCAGTGGATCCAGAACAAGACACGGTAATCCTTCACTGTTAGTCTGCAGCCGTACCAGACTTGTGAAATATGCAGAAGACCACCTACCCAGCAAAAGCAGCCTTGGGTTAAACTAATGTAAATAGGTTTGTTGTGCAAATAACAGTATTAAGGGTCCCTTGTAGTTTGCAAATATGACGTATGTTGACTAGATTTTGATGTTTTATTCCATGTTAGTCCATTAGCAAAAACAACATTTATCTTTCAGAGGTATCCAGTAGGACTTTAGCATCATGATGAGTTTATTGCCTCTTTCAGTCAGCCTATTTTTGGCTGATATAGAAAGTAGACTCAGCACCCTCATGCTAACATCGACAGCACGCCTTCACACTAACCAGCATGACAGCACGCCTTCACACTAACCAGCATGACAGCACGCCTTCACACTAACCAGCATGACAGCACGCCTTCACACTAACCAGCATGACAGTACGCCTTCACGCAAACATTGAGGCCTTCACGCTAACCTGCATGACAGTACACCTTCACGCTAACATCAACAGCACGCCTTCACACTAACATTGACAGCACGCCTTCACGCCAACCCGCATGACAGCACACTTTCACACTAACATCGACAGCACGCCTTCACACTAACCCGCATGACAGCACGCCTTCACACTAACCCGCATGACAGCACACCTTCACGCTAACATCGAGTGCACGCCTTCACACTAACCCACACGACAGCACGCCTTCACACCCAAACCTGTGCCCTTTCTTATCATGCAGCTTTTTATGGGATGGGATTGGGATCACACTTTTAGGATCACTGCTGTGTCACATCCAGTTCCAGCACTCAGCAGATCTATTCCATCTTCTCTGACGTGGCTGACACCAATAACAAGTTCCTAACTGTGAATGACAGCAGATCGATTTTCTGGAGCCATTCCAGGCAGAGGGCCACCACAGACTGAAGAGGCACGCCATATTTTAGTGTCCTCTGGTGCTCAGCTTTTGCTGAAGGGAAACAGGTTGAGGCAGCTGCCAAAGCCTCTCAGGGGGTCTCTCTTTTGCTCTCTCTCTCTCTCTCTCTCTCTTTTGCTCTCTCTCTCTCTCTCTCCATCCCATTATCTCCTTGCTGTGGTAGTGTACCATGTTGAAGGGCTTGCAGTGTGGGAGACTAGGGGTATAAACAGACAGTCTGCTACATTGCAGTGATGCAAACAGATGTTGGGTAAAAGGATTTGATTGACCCATAAACTCCAGCTGAGTTAGTAAGCTGGGATTTAAGACAGCCTCCTTTGAAGCTGACTGTGAAACAGCATGTAGATTCTGCTCCAGTGTCCCATGGAGAGGAGCCAGTGGCGTTCTTCACATTACTGTCCTGACTCCTGATCACCTTCTCATAATCAGTGAAAGCTTCTTATTAAAATGGGGCAACATTTATAGTTTTTTTTATCTAATGTAGTGTTTTTTAGTTGGGCCTGATTTATTTATTCCAACCAGTGCCAGTACTGTGCCAATGTCTGATGGACATTAGAATTTATATTTAAAATCTTTTGGGTGGAGTGTCATAAATAGCTTTTTCACGGGGCACCCCCCCCCCCCCCTTGAACAGGTGAGTGCGAATGCTTGACTCCCAGTCACTATTTCTGTTGTTTCGTGCTATAATGCAGAAGACAGAAAGAGGGGAAGTGTGAGAGCAATACGAGTGAGAAGATTTATTAAAGATTCAATGCCAACAAAAGTCAAAAGCTTCATCGTCTTTGGAGTAAGCTATGGTTTCCTTATAAATACCACAATCAAAGGGCCCAGTGGAGCCTAATATTTTAAGATATAATAGTTTTCAGGAGAGGTGCATTTCTAAAGCAAAGAAAAAAAATAAATATTAAGGCAGAGTGATGAAACGTTCAGCTTCAGTAGAGTCCTTTAGTGAAACTTCTTGAATGACTGGGGTTGATGAGCGATTTGGGGAACAAAGAAACAGACAGAGTAAGGGGATACATCTACTGTCGCTCCAGATACAATGTCAGGGAAAGGAGAATGTTGGCTCATTCTGGCACAATCCAATCATTGCCTCCTCCTTGGAAGCCAGGACTTGCCCCCAGGTCTAGCTAAATTGGCTGCTTCTCTCACAGGGGCCTTTTCGCTAAAACTATGGTATGACACCCTTTGACTATGTCAGGCTGGCACCTCCCTTGGCCTGTGCAGTGGAATTGACTGATAAGTGACCCACCAAATGCCCGTGTTGTCTCAGAGAGGGAGGTATTTACAGCCGCCTTTGCTCATCACGTGGGATTGTGGTGGAAAGTGGCCCCTTTTATTTCAAACATGCTATTGCTCTCCAGGAGCCTGGGAGCCATTTGCAGTGTGTATAGAGAGCCATAAACCTTTTAAATGGCAGTCTCCAATGTCCCATAGATTCCCCACGTCTCAGCTTCACTTTTTAAAGATGTTTTACTCCTTGTGAGGGAATAGCTTTTACGTCTTTTTGCTGTCCATAAATTGCCTGTCACTGCAAATTCAGTTACAAGTCGGTTACTATAAGCTGTTCGACGTTAGGTATGGTTAGGGTTTAGTCCTGAGAGACACAAGATTAGGACTTAGTCACATGTCATACATGTAGGAAAAATGTGGCAGAGAAAAAAATACCTCTGTAAATGTTACATTTCTCATTTGCAGTTAAGCATAATGGATATCAGACTCTGTGGTAATTGCTGCCACATTTTAATAACATGGGTGCATGTTTCCTCTGCCTTTCGTCAGACTCTGGTGGACACGGGGACCAAACTTCTCGGCTGCCTCAGTGTGGTAGCAGATGCAAATGTTGATCCCCAAGAGATGTGGGACCTTTTATGCATCACAGTGTTAAATTCCCCCTTATCCAACTGTGGAGGAGGAGAGAGGCGCTGAATTTAGTAAGCTGTCCTGGAAAGTTTCGTGTTTTTTTTTAGCCTTTTAGCATCATGGTGTTTTTCAGCCTGCCGCTGACATTCTCCCCGTATGAGCTATAGGTGAGACACAGCTGGGACTTGTCTAGACCTCCTCAGAGGCCAGAAGAGTGCAGGCACAAAGTCCTCAGTCCAGAATACCCTTAATTTGTACATGCGCTCATCAAGCCTAATCAATTTGATTAAATTCTTCCAAACCTGCCTTGCCATGCATAGCGTAGCTGCCATTTAGTGACCTGAGAACTTGGCCTTTAAACCTTCTTTTGATGTACTGAAGAATAAACTTTGCCGACAGAAAAAAAGACCAGAGTTTTAGAAAGTTTCAGCAGTTCTGTCTCTCCTGGTGCCGCTTTGACGGTCCCGCCTGTCTTTCTGCTTGCTGTGATACCAGGTAGCTGCAGCCCCGTCTTCAAATCCATGTGAGACGCCGCCTGGATATCCAGCGTTCCGCTCCTTCTGCCCACGGCCGCCTGCAGCGCTCTACTCCCCCGGCTGAGAGAGAGCGGGATAGCCAGGCAGAGATGTACCCAGTTTTCCTCCTTCTGCCTTCCCTGCTCTTTGTTCATACATCCTGCACATCCCATATCTTCAGGAACCATGGGTAATGAACTTCTGCTCCTCTCAGCATGAGCACTATATCGGGGGGGATGGCAAAGCACTAAGGTGTGCATGCCTCATGATATTACGGTGTGCATGTCCTTCCGTTATTCGTTGAAACTCTGTATAAACCCATATTGGTACAAAGATATGTATGTAAGGAACATACATACATTTATATATATGATGTATAATAAAAGAAAATTATCATCTTTAAAACCATTTTTTTTAAGTTTTAAAAATGCATCCACATAATATTAAAACAAATAACACTTCCCTAGATCTCACACATGCACTTAACCAGTTCAGTCATTAAAAGGTGTTAATTTTCTGTTACCCAAAATCATTTAAAATTATGATAATAATCAATTTGGGCCTTTTAAACAAGCCCTGTTTGTGTGGTTATTGATTTATGGTCAGTGTGAAGGGTAGGAGGTGGACATTACTATTGCTCATGCTCTTGGGGTGTCCCCTGTACACAGGCGGAGAGTGTGCCTCAGAGATGTCCCCCGGCACAGCACTGTCCTGCACACCCAGTCCTTTGTTCAGACAGTCCATAAACCTTACTTAACCCTCTGCCATGATCATCGACTCTGCAGCACATACAAGTAAGCCCCCGTTTTACACTTAATGGCCTGTTCTGTCTGCTCATTGGTGTTTACACTCTTTGATGATGTTGTTTTTCAAATTAAATTAGATATATATTTGGTATCCATTCAGGTAGCATAGCATGTTAAATGTGTCTCTGCCTTACTGAGGTTATCAGTTTTCATCTTGTCCCTTGTTGTGTGTGTATGGATTATGCTTATATTACATTGTGGAGACCAAATGTACCCCACAATGTGATAAAAACCTGTGTTTTGACATTGTGGGGACCATTTTTCAGGGCCCCACGAAGATATGTGAATGTTATCAAAAAATTACAAATGCCAAAAGTCCCATATTTTGTTTGGTTACTTATGCTTAAGGTCAGGGTGGGGTAGGGGTTAAGGTTGTTATGTTGGAATTAGAGTTTTCTCAATAGACATGAATGCTGAGTCCTCCCAAATATATAATTACAAACCCGTGTGTGTGTGTGTGTGTGTGTGTGTGTTTGCATGATCTCTCTAGGATTCTGCCACATATTTCAGTTTCCACAGTCCACAAGCATGTGATTGGGAAAAGTGACATGTTTAAATAGTGCATGCAAAGGCCTGGCCATCCGGGGTGTCCCCCTGCTCATGTTGCATGCTTCCTGGGATTGGCTGAAGCTCACCCTGACCATGTACTGGATAAGTGGTTATGGATTATCCATGTACATCTGGATGTTACTGAAGTAGTTGTGGTTTACAGAAGAGTCCACTATGGAACTCAAATCAGCAGCAGGGAAGCAGCAGCTCCTGCTAACTCTGGCTCGTACCTACATGTCCGCTGTGGGTTCAAACGGGGCCGGGGTTAGCATTTTAAGATCACCGCAATGAGGCAGCTAAGGAGCTGGTGGAGAAGCAGCCAAGCCTGCTTCCTGAGGGCTCCAGAACTGAGTCATGGAGGCGGAGACTTTTGGGGACTCAGAGCTAAGCACTTTCTGGATATCTACGGGAAAATAACTGCTGAGACTACAGCTTGGTTTATTTTGGCCAAAGTCCCGTCTGGGCTTATGGTCTTCTCACTGTCAGTCTGACAGCACAACAGGAGCAACAACCATGTTCTGATCTGCTTCCATTCAGGGCTTCTTACTTGCTGAATATGATATCATTCATTAACTCAGGGGTGGGGGGGGGGGGGGGCGCCTGTGGTTGAGCCCCAGGGCGTGTTTTGACCTCCCACTGTGGTTTTGTATACTTACTGAAACAATGTGGACCAGCCTCATCCATGAAGAAAACCTCCATGTCTCTTCACATCACATTACTTGCCACTTTACCAAGGTTCTCTTTCTTGGCTGTGCCCAGAATAGGATGGCTTCTGCATGGACTGGCTCACTGGCACTTAGGCAGCTTTCGCAGCCTCAGAGTACACGGCAGGCAGCAGCTCTGGAATAGCTGTGTTCTGCATATATTATTCAGCATAACCCAGCTCTCGTTACCCACAGGACGATGTACAGAGTATCATATCGGCAGGTGAGCCACACTGTACCGGTGTCATACTCCTATCCAGAGTGCTGTCCAGGATGGCGGAGATTCTATTCACACAACTGTAACCAAGGTAACGTGATAGACACCTTTACCATAATTGTAAATATCTTACCGTAACCATAGCGAGTGTACAGTCCTTCACAAACGGTGTTCACTATGCACTTGGTGATTTCTTTTTACATTCCCTCACCCAGGACCCCAGCATTTACTCATGAATTCTAGCAGTATTTAACAATTATTTTTCATAAGTAATTTTTATTTCTTTTTAAAGAGATTTGGACTCATCAAGGGACATACAGAGCCATTGTAATCATATACTGCAGCAATATAAAACATAATTTGGCAAAAAATGATGTCAGCTGGGTATGTTGAAATAAATAATGTGTTCATCACATTTGCCATTCACATCGTTCATAATGTCATGAATATTGATTTTGCCTATTATTATTATACTATTTTAAGTCGTCATTCAAACCCACAGGTAAGAAATGTAGCATGTCCTGCATTTAAAACGGTATGCCCCCCCCCCCCACAGCGGTGTGTTCCCAGCCCTGTGTTAATGGGGGCACCTGCATGCGACCGGATCATTGTTCCTGTGGCGTGGGCTGGACAGGACAACGCTGTCAGACAGGTAATGACTTAATAGCCATTTCAGCACCTATTTCTAATATATACTGAGCTGTTTTTTCTTGCTTTTACCAGAATATGAATGTTTTGAAAATTATAGAGCAATAATTAATTTACTGAAGGAAATATTGACTTTACATGCACAAAATATTACCCATGATTTACACATAACTAGATGATTTTGTACTTCAGTCATTTATATTTTAAATCTGTTTCTGACATGCTCAAAATCTGCTCATATCAATTAGTTTAGCACTTAAGCAGCCAGGGAAAAGCCATACTAGATGTCATTTTAATGCAATGAATAAGAATAGTAATAATAATAATAAAAATCTCCCACACTCTCTTAGACCTGGATGAGTGCAGCGGTCCACACCCCTGTGCCCAGCAGTGCTTTAACACCCCTGGCAGCTACCAATGTGGCTGTCGGGATGGCTACCAGCTGGCCGGGGATGGGCGTTCCTGCCAGGCGATTCCTTTGCCTGTCACCACCGCTGTTCCTACTGCCACCCTGGAGAGTAAGTACCTTCCATTACACGCCAGGCAGTGCTCTACATTCCTACTCATATGGGAAGTTAACAGAAGTTAACAAGGTCTGTTATATGCCAGGCAGTGCTCTACATTCCTACTCATATGGGAAGTTAACAGAATTTAACAAGGTCTGTGATATGCCAGGCAGTGCTCTACATTCCTACTCATATGGGAAGTTAACAGAATTTAACAAGGTCTGTGATATGCCAGGCAAGAGCTCCATATTTCCACTCATTCAGGAAGTTAATAGAAGTTAACAAGGTCTGTGATAGGCCAGGCAGTGCTCTATATTCCCACTCATTCAGGAAGTTAACAAGATCTGCAATATGCCAGGCAGTGCCCTATATTTATTTACTTCTATATATGAAGCACTATTCTGCCTACAACAAGGACATTACTGCCAAAGGCAGCCCCGAATGCATGTCAGTATTCTCTCCGTCTCTCAGCAGTCTCCTTCCCAGGGATTCTGTGTGGTTTTGCTAGAGTCTCCAGGGTTTTCCTGCCCAATTTGTGACCAAATACAGCAAAAATTGCCGACTATAGTCTCCAAAGCAATGGCAGAATCCAAAACAAGATTCATTTACTCTGAGTATAGATTACAAACTCAAACTGATGAAGTTTCCAGTGTAAACACAGACAGGCATAGATTTTAGGCCCAGTAGTGGTCAGTATGACCTGAGGGTAATAGGTTTGTCAATATTATTATAACTCCCCCTAACCCTACAAAATCAAACCTAAGGATTTAATGAGCACCCCACTCCCCCAAAGAACCCTAGTGAAAAATGGCACTCTTTGTCATAGTAATTATCATTGTTTTATTGGATTTACATCACAGCACAGTTACAGTTTTTTCAGTTTTCAGTTTTTCATATTCACAGCCTTTGCCAAAGTTATTTATCTGGATAATAGGTATTCATTTGCTTAGGAAAAAACAATTTAACAAGAGAACATATGCAAATTAACACCATAAAAACTAACAAGTTTCTGTTCTCCAAAAAGTTAGTTATATCTTGTTGGATGGCTAATGAACATCGCTTTGGTTCCCAAACCTCTCCTCAGGGGCACCTCAGCCATTAGAAGAATTCGTTAAATTTCACTACCAGCTTATTAATTTATTGACTGGGCCTGGAGCCTGAGCTTTGGTGATGTCACTGGAGAGGAAACCCCTAGTTCACCTTCTCTGTGTTTCCTACCAGGGCATTCTCTATGTATGGCTATCAATCATGGTCTGAAAAAAGCATCGACAGGCATTTTTTTGTATTTTTTTGTGTAGCCTTTTTGTACAACAGCAGCTGTTACTGCAGAGAAGATGACCAGCCAGCTCCATGATCCATTATTACTTTTGGTACGCGCTATGCCACTATCAACTCGTACCGTGAGTAATAATGCATTGTGGCTGGTGAATGCCACCAAAAGCGACTCCATGGAGTTCACAAAGTTTCTGCAGCGGTTCACCAATGTCTGGTTAATAATCAATGTGAAATGTTCCAGGTGAAATGTGCCCCTGTGTCCCAGCAGGGAAAGTATCAGCTGTTTGGCATGTTTATGTTGTTGCCTGCTTGTCACGCTCTTCAATCCGCAACCTCACCAGGGCAGTTGTGAAAATGACCACGATTTATCGTATATGGCTTGTCTTCCGCTTTTACCGTAGTGAAAAGGCATGAAAAACAAAAACGTAAAACAAAACCCAAAATATATGAATATATATATATATATTTTAATTAATCAGAGGAAGGTCTAGGTGGATGTAAATGTATCACTCATGCAAAATCTACATGAGTTCTGGTCCTCAATGTCATTTACAGTGTTGGGTACCAATTTCCATTTTTGTGTACTACTAGCTAACCGACTACCTAAACGATTAGTTAAACGACTTCGTGCATAGCGTCTTGACTACTGCATTAGATATGCTACTAAGTAATGAAACATTTACGATTCATCTCCCCAATAGAGCACATCCTTCCTTTTTATGCCAAGCATAATTCCTAAAAAACAGGATGACGGATGGGAAACTCACTGAAACAATGCAATGAATCGTCGTTTCTCTGACTACATATTTCCGAACGTACAGCAGACTTTCTTTCGCAAGCCAAGCATAGCCTGTAATTGCTAAAGTCCTGTGCAAGTGTCACGCAGTCCGTACGATCATTCACTCCAGGTTAGATGGGGGTCTTGGCTGCGAAATACTTCAAGTCACTCTGTTACACTAGCGGATTACTTTTTCACCATTTAAACAGTGAAAACGTTGAGGGTCACATATAGTAATTAACAACAGTTTTGACCTATTGGTGTTCAAAACTATATTTGGAGATTTGTTCTCCCATTAACTTGTGAAGCTTTTATTAGGTCTCAGCTCTGGGACAAGCATGTTTATACACGAGGAAAAATGTGGAAATTTTGGAACATCGTGGCCCCAAACAGGCACATCATCAACTTCCGGATAAAATACGAGAAGGCTACAGGAATCTCTTCAGCCGGAGACAGACACTGTTTTTAGAGAAATAAGGCAGGTTGCTGTGGAGATAACATTGAGGAGAGCATGGCGGTGAGGACAGAGATGTTAAATCGTGCTCTCTCCCTCCCCTGCTCCTCTTGGTCTGTTGGCAATCACTTCACTTCTCATTCTTGCCTCGGCAAACTTGTCTGCTGGGGGTGACTTAATACTCCCAAGTCCTGGTGCAAGTCTCGCTTTCAGCCAACATCTGGGAAAGATCACAGAACTGTGAGCTGTTAGATTTCCTCAGCCGCGACACAGATCTGCACCACGATGTAGCTGATAATCACTCAGAATGACCTTTTGGGTGAGGCCACTGAAAATCATAGCTGGCGCAGTGATCTACACAGAAAAAAGTGATATGGTTACATAAAACCTGCTTTGTTTTCTCCATACTTTTGACATTCCATGATTGTTATGTCACCAGTGTTAACTGTCATTGTGTCCCTCATTTAGCCATCAGTTTGTTAGTACTTGGTGTCCATATTACAGTGATGTTTGAAGTTAAGATCTCTGAGAAATTGTAACTTCTGGAACTAAGCCAAAGCCTATTGTGATTGATGAGAAACTTCTTTGTCCTAGGTGGGAAGGCCAGGGCAGTCGACGCTGTTACAGAGGAGGTGCAGAGCTTGAAGAACAGAGTGGAGGTGCTGGAGCAGGTACCAGTGAATTCCATATATCAACTGCAAGGTGCTGGCCAATTAAAATCCAATAATGATCTTTAACGAGAATAATAAATTATTTAAAAAAACTAGGAGAGATACATAGCATAAAGCCATTTTAGTTGAACTGCTAGGCTGAAACACTTGGTTATCAGCTTTGTGAGAAGTCTGTGCTGAATAGTTTCCCAAATTGCTCAAAAAATGCATTGCCCCTCTATTTGCATATTTAAGGTGGTACGTATTTATACTAAATGGATAGACAGTTCCAAGCAAACATACTTTGTGCCTCAATCAAGAGACAGCCGGCCAGGCAACATGTGCCAGATGGAAGCAAATTCCAGCTGTTTCAGGAATGGCAAGATGGCAAGATATCTGATTTTGAGAGCAAAAACAATACTTTTCTAGCACAGATTTTCCACTGTATGTAATGGAAATACATAATGGATGCACAGCAATGTTCCTTAACGCAGGTTGTAGCATGTCGTAGGAAAAAGTGCCAGGGGAACAAAAAGTGGTCCACTGGCTTTGGGAACAGGCCGCCTGACACTCTGACATTTTCGCGGCAGAAGCTACAGCTCGCCCTGGCTCCCTTCGACAGCCTCTTCTCACGCTCTCTGGGCGAAGACGTTGCTGAGAAGACCAGCTTCCTGACCCACTCCTTCCAGCAGCTGGACCGCATCGACTCGCTGAGCGAGCAGGTCGGCTTCCTGGAGGAGCGGCTCGGATCCTGTGAGTGTCCCTCCCCCCACCCTCACCCCCACCCCACGGCTGAAATAATCCATCCACCCTTTTGGGAGATCTTTGTCTCACTCTCTCCCAATATCAGCATCAGTCCTAATCTTTACAGAATAAACTTTTCTGAAACTAAGTGATGTACGATTTGGTTTATGTTCTTTTGCCAAAAATGTCAAAATGACTTAGTGTATTAAGAGGCAGTAACTTTGTGGTTACCTTGTTACCTCTGGGTGTGGGTTTGATTTCCACCCTTGCTGCTGTCTGTGTCATCCTACAGCCCAAATATGCAATTATGCGAATGTCTGTCTCTAAACTGCCCTCAGTGTGAGAGTGTGGCCACATGAGAGCTGGCATCCCATCCAGGGAGTGAATGGATGTTTTTACAGGGTTCAAAGTAATTTTAAACTGAGCTACCACTTACCATATGAAACAAATTGTTAAACTTTTACCAAGATAATTATTTAGTGAAGTGGCACAGGAAGGCAGCTGTTAAAAGGTGAGATACACCTCAGAATAATCATTCTTATCACTGTGGGTAAGAGCATCTTTGAATAAATGTGATGCAGAAATCTTAAAGGCTTCTGTTCTGTTTGTACTCCAAGGTTCCTGCCAAGAAAATTAAATGCAGAAAGACAAACCTCACCAGAAGAAATAAAAAAGCTCTTCGATTCCAAGTTGGCTTCTACGGGTTTACAAGCCTTCATGCACCAAGAGCAGAGTATTTCAGCCAGGATGAGGAAAACAAAGAACTCTGCCAGAGCAAAAAACATGTATATAGCATATTTATTTGATAGGTATTGGTTTCAAAATGTAACCATGATTTAAATGTAACCAGTTCTTAATTCCCCATATTTAGGAGCCGAACTGTGAAGAGAGAGTTTGCTTAGTCTCCTGACTGTTCATTTTTCAGAACAGAATTTCCCTTTAGGAGGATCTTACTTTATTATATTGTTTAATGAGCAAAATGCACAAGATGATATTGAAAAACATGTGGTGGAACTATGAAGTGATAACTTGGCTTGGTTTTTGTTAAAGCTCTTTACAGACTACCCACAACCTGTGCAAAAGCTCTTTACAGACTACCCACAACCTGTGCAAAAGCTCTTTACAGACTACCCACAACCTGTGCAAAAGCTCTTTTGCCCATTTGGATGTTTGTATTTGTACTTGTATTCTCGCTTAAATTAGAATGTGATGCACTACCTGTAATTGGTTGTTTTTTTTACTGAAAATTATTTTGCCAATAAAAGCTGAAAATTACCTCAAAGATCCTTTATTTGTGTGTGTGTTGAGTGGAAAAACAGCACAGAACAACATCTGCTGGGTTTGAAATCTTACATGCCAAATGACTAATATTATTTTGATAATACAATGACCCGAGTGGAAGTTCATTCATCTTTCTTTAAAGGCACTATAAACACAACACTCAGAATTAAACCCGCATGTCCAAGCACAGAAAAGGAGTATGCAGCATTCCCATAGGAAAAATGAAATTTATTTTCATCAAGGCATTCTTAAAACAGTTTCAACCAGATTCTTTGAAATCAAGAGCATTAAATACATCTTCGGACATGACCAGATTTACTCCAGGTTTACTCCACACGGCACACCGCACGCAGTGGGGCTAGCTGGTAAAAACGCTGGGCCTACAGATATTTTACCTAAAGCTACCACAAAATTGTACACTTTCACTAGCTTTGGTGAAATTTATAGTACATTTTGTGAAATTTTCCATGTAATGCTCATATTTTTTTCTCTATTTTGGATCTCGCGTAAAATTCTTATATTTAAAATGTTATATTTCTTAAATCTGAGATTTACATACAGGGTTTTATGAATGTAACGCAACAGAAGGCAAAGCATCAACAGCTGCGGTAAAAAAAAAAAAAGATCTCTAACGTCAGGGTAAAATAAAGGTTCCATCGTGGCAAACAAAGCCCATCCACGGGTATCAAAGGGTCACCCACTTCCCCCCCACCAAAAAGCATCCTTGTAATCATCATCTTTCGCAATTCGAGCCCCAACAGCAAATCAGCCTCCAAAGTGTGAATCAAACAGCAAATCAGCAACTTGCAGACACCTGACAAAGTTGGAGCGGGTACTGTAAATAGTTCAGGAATAAGCCGTTACCACCCCCACAGTGACTGAAAAAACACCGTAACATCTTTAATAGCTAAGCCTATATTAATTAAACAAAAAAACACATTTTGGCTCACAATTCACAGTCAGTAAAGATAAATACTATTTTAAATATTTTGGGAAACCCTTTGGGCTATAGGGTGCACTTAAGCCTATGCAGTGACATGCTGATACTTTATCATAAATATTATCCAGATATCTGTTAACGTGATCAAAGTATTGTCTTGGTCAGCACATTATACTTCATGGACAGAAACTGTGAAAGCCAAGAAAATAAGTTGCACACTGCTTTGCAGAAAAATCAATTCATCATTTTATAACATAATTCAAGACTGTTACTCCTTGTAGGATCTATGGTTCTACTACACAGACATCAGCACAGGCTTCCTGTGAACAGCAGCATCAGTAGGAGAATGCACACCCCACACTTCCCAGATATGAACTGCAGCATCACCAGTTCACTCCAGACTGCATTCTGGGAAATACCTCACATCCTACCCCTAACATTTTAACATGGCAGTCAAATGGTAAAGGATCCATGTTGTAAAGGGCTGAAAGTGGTCTTCACACAAGAACTGTAAAAAGCCAACTTTAACATTACATGCTGCAGTTTGGCTTCCCATTGCATGTTCATCAGACCACAGGATGTGCTAAAGGATCCCAGTAAGGCTGTAGTGCTGTATAAGATGTGTGGCCCAGTAAGCTGGCAATGAGCAGTCAGCTCAAAAGCCAATTTCAGCCTTTTTGCAATAGCATGCACTAAACTGCACATCCATGCTTCTGCATCCAGGTGAATTACAGTGTTTGCCTCTAACGGCTGCCATCTCTCCCCCAGCCAACCTGTAGATATGCAGTATCTGAGCAGCAGTATAACACTAGCAGTAACAGGATGTGATTCCATTCCTGTTTAACATCTGAGTCTTACATCCAAAAGCAACTTACACATTCCCCCCCCCCCCCCCCCAAGCACACATCTTAAAACAGTCATACACAAACGCTACATGCGTGACCTTTCAAAAAGTTTTACTTCTCATTTAAGACCTGGCATGAGAGCGAGAGCAGTCAATAGCTCAAATGAGTCTGCAAAACAGCTAGCAAACAACAAATGAGTCTGCAAAGCAGCTAGCAAACAACAAATGAGTCTGCAAAGCAGCTAGCAAACAACAAATGAGTCTGCAAAGCAGCTAGCAAACAACAAATGAACCTGCAAAGCAGCTAGCAAACAACAAATGAACCTGCAAAGCAGCTAGCAAACAACAAATGAGTCTGCAAAGCAGCTAGCAAACAACAAATGAGTTTGCAAAGCAGCTAGCAAACAACAAATGAGTCTGNCAAATGAGTCTGCAAAGCAGCTAGCAAACAACAAATGAGTTTGCAAAGCAGCTAGCAAACAACAAATGAGTCTGCAAAGCAGCTAGCAAACAACAGAGTCTACAAAGCAGCTAGCAAATAACAAATGAGTCTGCAAAGCAGCTAGCAAACACGGGATGCGACTGGATAACAATCCTCTCAGTCGCTGTACCGATGTCAGCAGCCTCCAGGCCCAGCAATTATTACTGTTTTGGCAAAGAAACGCACCCTTTTCCAGCAGGGATTTGCAGTTTATAGGCTAATGGGGCAGCAATGATTTTTTTAAGAATCTTATTTGCTTACACCAACATAGCAGAGCAACTTAAAAACCCAAATTAATAAACAAGGAGAACAGGCTCCTGTCAAATAAAAACTACTTTTACAGAATATTACTCAGGCTGCTATGGAGCTCAAAGCAGCAGGTAGCCAAAATCCACATCATCATCATCATTACACAGCAGGGTCCTATTCACTAGTCATACTGCCTGTTGACCACATAAAGCCTCGCAATTAGTATCGAAGATGCAGTGCTTAACTAATCATTCACTGTCAAATACCTTTCTGTAAAAGAACATTACTTAGGAACACCTTTTTCTTGAAGAAAGATGTGTTTCTAATGCACAGCTGTGCAAAAATTGAATATATTTGAAGTGAATGACCTCTGCGCAAGGACCTGCTTCTGCACACTTCTCTCTTTATAAGTACTAATACTAAAGGCAGAGGTAAGTTAGTAACAGATTTCAAAGAATTATATATCTATATATAAATAAATTAATTTGAAATTGGGTGGGGGGAAAAAAACACACAAAATCCAAATGAATCATGCCATACCATATAAACACATAAAATTACCAGAGGCGCTAACAATTCAAATTTAATAATTTTTCTGCTTAGCCAATTTAAAAAAACAAAACAAACAAAAAAGTTTCCAAAGCCATTAAAACAATAATGCATGACACAGGCTTCTTCCCCTTAATATGACCGTCACTACATTTATCAGATGCTGGTACTCCACTCAAGGGTAAAACAGCCCCCCCCCCTCTCTCTCTCTCTCTCATATCCTGAAAACCAGAAACACTTAACACATTTTAAAACACGTCCTTAACTATTACATGGACATCGGCCACTGGAATTAAAAAATAAAAAATTAAAGTGACATAACATACTCTTTATTATGCAGTAAATTCTGGAAACATTCCTTAATTTCCTTTATTTTTGACCTTCATGTAGCACCGCATTAGAGGACAGGAAGTGATCACAATAAAGAGGTGTGGCTAACGTCTGCCCATGGCTTCCTTTGATCTCTGATGACTTTATTATATGATTTTCATTGTAAATACTGCACCCCCCCCCCTTCTTCCTCATGCAACAAGCTACTCCATTTTAGGATTTGGACAAGAAACTCCCAACAACACCTTCAAGTATATTTAATACGAAACTATGCTCAAACCACTCCAAACTTTGGCAAAAGCCTCTGGTTTATCAATCTGACAGCAGCTGCCATGAGCAAGAAATACCTGGTGAATTTAAGACTGAATGATAAATAACTGACCCGAGTCATCAGAATGTTAATTTGTTAGTTAATTATCAGTGATATACAGAACAGCCAAGAAAGAAAAGAAATCTCCATTTCAGAGGTCCATTTCCCTTTGCTCAATCACGTTAATTTGTTTCATAGTTAACTGTTTAGGTGTGTAAACTCTAATAGTTCAAATTAAAGCCCCACTCAAATCCGTTAATAACCCTAATTAAATGTATTAATTCCAAAATGTTTGGATTATTTTCTCTCTTCTGTTATGCTTGTCTTGATGCATTGCTTAGACAAAAAACAAAAAAAAGAATAAAAAAATCAGGAAAAGACCACCAGCCGTCTCTCCATGAAGCATGGTGTGTCTGGATGGCAGTTTTAAGTGCTGTAGCAGTGTACTCCTCTTCCTCACACAACTAACCCCTTAGATTTGTCGCTCACAACATAAATATTTCCATTCTTACATTTAAGATTAATATTAACATTAACATTACGCAAGTACTAATTTCAAAGTCTTGAGAAACTGATCATTAAACTGATGGTGTTCAATTTTAGTGAAACGGTGGTAATATTATAAAGCACCCGTAACTCAAAGCTGTAACATGGCACAAGAGGAAGCCTGCACTTTGGAACAATAATTCTTTTTGTACAATAAAAATTGCACTGAACAAAATGACCTTTGACACATTTGACAAGTTCACTGTTGGGGCTACCAAGAGAATACGAAAGCATAATCATTGTAAAAAGCATTGGATATATAAATTATTTTTAACTACAAGACTTGGAGATACTTTCTTTTCGATTACATGCAGAATCTTGCAAGACTGTTGGGGGTAAAATATCAGGGTCCACAAACAATTCATAACAACATCAAACCAGTCACTGATGTTCATTTTCTTGCCATTTGGTTGAGCACGCTGACACTAATGATCTTCTGTTTTGGGAAACCTCAGACAGGTAAAGCAACAGGGGAAACCACAAGTTGCTGGCTGACTTGACATCTCTACCAGACATTCACTCACTCTCCTCCGAAAGGTGCCAACACCTGGAACGTACCAGCAGGTACAGGGCACAGAAAAATTCGGAGGGCATCTTGACGCATCCTGTACATCCACAAGGGAGAAAAGCGGTCAAATGCACACATAGCCAAAATAAAATTGGACACAATGAGATACAATGAGAGAACATATGGTAAGAACAGTGTAAAATAAAAAAAAATGCACAACAGGCACACGTCCGTTATAGAGTCCGTATCTTCAGAGCAAGCCATACAAAGCAACATGGCTCCGGGGGGGTGGACTTAGGACATATGCAGCCCTGACTGCCCTAACTGTACTCACAGAGCTTGTGAACCAGTAAATATTATCTGCAAAAAAAAAAAGGCAAAAGAGGAAAAAAAAAAAATCCTCCATAGGTAGCAACACAACTTCCAGCAAAATATCTCTTAGGTGATATTAGAAATTCTGTAACATACATTGTACATCTGCTGTGCCATGGTGGCACTCTGTTGGGGGTGGGGGGGGGTATTTCGCCATCATTGTTTTTGTACATCTGCTGTGCCGTCTTTACTGAGGTGTCTGGTTTTTGGAGAACAGATTGCCACTGCACTGCCCTGTATGTTCAGGCGCTGCTGGGGGTGATGGGGGGAGGGGGCAGATGAGTGCAGTCAGAGAGCCGACGGGCCGTTATTCTGGCTGCCTGCTCGCGAGACCTCCAGGAATGCAGACCGCATGACGGCGTAGGATTTATCACAAAGAGTGGCCACATCATCTGACGTCAATCCTTTTGTCTCAATCTTTGGGAGGATCTTCAACCTGATGGTTCCTGAGGATGACAACAAACATCTGCCTTTCAGTGCAATCTCAGTATATTCATAATATGGACGTAAGAACATAAAGAGGGCTTTAAAGCCTAAACTGTGATGACAAATGAGCTTATGTAATCCACAGGGGGGTGAACTTAGCACACACAGAGTATGAACCCAGTTTGAACCCAGAATATATATAAAATCAATCAAGAGCCTCATTTTTACCCCCAAAACATAACATTTTTCTCAACGCATTTAAATACCAATGAAAGAAATACAGTAAAATTCGTTCTGCTAAAATCTTTGAATTTTCAGGATACATCAGGCAAATAAAGTGAATATAAAACTCTTTAGCATGCTCTCTATATGTCAAAAAAAAACATTTTAATTATTACACTATGATTTGCCTATATTATGCATAGAATACATCAGAAGGTCTGTTTAGAGGCTGAGACGTTACTGAAGAATAGGACCACAAGGCGCTGGGGTGAACGCTGAGAAGCTGCTGAATACGGGAGGGATGTGGGATGGTTGTGACGAGGATGGGAAAAAACATCCAAGTTTGCAAACTCAAGTAAGCACACAAAGTGTCATTTCAGGAAATACTTAGTCTGTTCTCTGAGTTCTTTGCCCTTTGTGTTACTGCACTGCAAGTGAACATGCACATTAAATTAAGGCACAATCAAGCCCTCTCCGGAAATGAGAAGGTAAGCATAGCTCCCAGCAAAGGACAGCATGAGCTACTAAACTGCATAACAAGCAAGAGAAACACGTGCAATGCTGACAAAACTGCTTGAAACACGATGAAAGGACACTAGGCGGAAAATGGACTGCATCTTGCGTGTGCATCGTTTAAGAACCGTCTTCTAAATTTCTTGTTTATAAAACAAGTATGGCATGCAGGAAAACACAGAGAACTCATACCAGATTTAAACTGCTTTTCTTTCCGCAAGTAGAAGTTGCTGTAGGAGGAGAATACTACGGGTACGATGGGAGCCTGGAGGGAGAGACAATGTGTCACATGCAATGAAACCAAAAAAGGCAGATGCTGTTTTCCTTTAGGGTGACGGTTCACTGGGAAGAAAACCCCTGAGGAAAAGGGTAGAAATGCAAACCATCCTTCAAATGGTCCAGCAGCACCACTAGACCTGATTGTGTACTTTCTATAGTAGCTGTAACCAAGTCACCATTTCTCTGGCTGCGAGAATTAGAAGGAAGTACGACTCTTAGAAACGCAACAAAGGAATTCCAGAGATGAACAAAGTATATATCCTCCTGATCTAATATTAGCATGAGAATTTCTCACAAGTACAGAGCCAGGCCCTGAAGCTGCACTGTCCCATGGTTTTCTGAGGGTGGGAGTTCCACGTCTCCTTCATCAGAGATGTACAGACCATGAGCTCCCAGACCATGAGTGGTGTGTGGGGTGGGGTGTTCTTACGCTCACCATTTGGTTCCCAAGCTCTAGGGTCAAGTCGCACGGTCAGGCACAGAGGCGGGGCCTGTGTTTTTCCAGCACCTAATTGGCCAGCCCTGCCTGGGTAGTAATATCACTGAGGTCTGGATTAACCAATAAGGGAGCTGGAGAATAGCAAGAATCTGATGCATTCATGATTGGATAATGAAGGGCATTTTTTTTTGTAACTTCTACCCTCAAATTCACTTTTGCATTCAAAAGGCTGGCAACCACATCAGTACAGAAAGCTTTCAAAGGTGTGTGAAACTGGTTTAACAGTGTTGTAACTGGTGTTCTGCTTGACCTCATGCTAATGAATTAATGTGTTTACTTAATACTGAAGCAAACTGACTGCTCCAAGATAGCATTACATTCCTGCGATACATATATATTTTCCATACACTTTTTTAGGGCTTATAAACTTGTAAACCAATATAGAAGAACCAGAGATCAGTCTTTCATTCCAGCATCAGCAATTTCTGCATGAACATGAACAATGTGATGAAAAAAAATGGCATAAAAACTGTTAGATTCAACATTAGCTGAAATCTTGAAAATCATATTTTTTAAAAAGCTCAAAATTTATAGTGACACAAGTACAAAGCCACCATTGAAATCAAAGTGTACACCCTCCCTTTAATTTAGTTTAAAGCAGCTGAAAATAAAACAGCAATATAACTTCATAATAGTAAAGGCTATTTATTTGATGTAACTAATAATTAAATACCAGCAAAACTAATGAATATGAGGATATGAGACCTGAGGAGAAATGAAACACTAATCAGAGGTACTCAGCAGAAAAGGAAATTAACACAGAGACCGTTTGATACAGGAAATAACGGTTATGGGCAATTAAAAGGGGGGGAACAGGGGTCCCGTTTACAGATCTGGAACAGGACGCACCCCCAAGGCCCCCAGCAGCGGAGAGGAGGGAGGACTGGCTTCTTGATTAAAGAGAACAGTCCATGCCAGCAGTGGAACACCCCCCCCCCCCCAAAAGCATGAACAACGACCTGGAAAAGGCTCCACAGGCAGAAACACGCAGCTGTACCTGGAATGGGCACAGACATGGCGGTACCAGCTCTTGATCTTTATATAGCCAAGGAAGTGCTGACTAATTTTTAATCTAATTTAGTTTCCCCATTCATGTAAAAATTGGCTATTTTTCCTTTCCTGTACAGACCTATAGTTTCATGAATACATTAGGTGACCCACTGACAAAAAGGGGTATTTCTGTGGGGCACTAAAGCATATACCTATCAGACAACACATATTTGGGAATACCATAGTAATACTGCAATCAACACAAACAGGGGTCTGTCTAAACCACAATATTCACATTTACGAAATCACACTGGTCTTATTATAGTTTAATCTCATTCACATGGAGAAATTCAAGCACATTGGTTGTTAGCTCCCCCTAGTGTATTTAACATGAACTGAAACAATACAGTGCATTATCTTCTGATTTTTAACAAACAAAAATAAAGCTCTCAGTTCATGGAATAAGAGAGTAATGCATGAGAAAGAGCAATAGCTCAAATTTGTGGACAGGACTCGTGCCAATCCAGGCCGCCAGTGAGGCAGCATATGAGAGGCAGCATATGAGAGGCAGCGAGAGAGTAAAGGCTGGACTCACCTGTGCCTGTATCGCCAGGTGGAAGGCACCCTTCTTAAAAGGCAGCAGGTCGCCTTTCTGGTTGCGTGTGCCTTCCGGAAAGACCCACAGGCGGATCTGCAGGGAGCACAAACAAATGTGGCGGCAAAGGGGTCATGTGATGGCAGAGTGATTAACCCAGCAAAAATAACACCAGCTGGAGCAGGTAGAGTAGCTCTTAAAGAAGCAGGCTAGTTCACTGTAAGGTTACAAGAAAAGGCCCCAAAAGACGACCTTTAAGCTGGAATTGCTCTTGCGAAATATTTAGCTGTATAAACTGATAAATACAGACTCGACAAAATGATCTACCATTTTCAGTAACTGCTTATCCTATGTACTGTAGGGTCATGGGGGTCCAGAGCCTATGGACGCAAGGCAGGGAACAACCCAGGATGGGGAGCCAACCCATCGCAGGGCACAAGGCAGGGAACAACCCAGGATGGGGCGTCAACCCACCACAGGGCACACTCACACACCAGTCACTCTCACACCATTCATTCACACACTCACACCACCGGGCAATTCGGCAACTCCAATTAACCTCAGCATGTGTTTGGACTGTGGGGGTTAACTAGAGCATTTGGAGGATACGGCGACCACACGGACCCAGGGCAGAGACTTGAACCCAGGTCCCAGAGGTGTGAAGCAACAATGCTAACCACTGCACTACTGTGCCAACCAATGAGCAATACAATGTTACCAAGATATTAAAAGGGTTCGAGTGCATTGTGGCCTCGTACTAGATAAGCAGTTATGGAACATAGATGTTACCTCAAGTAATTTCAATGATTTTAAAAAGGATGTGTAATCAATCATCAGCAAGTTACTCAGTCCATGTACCATATTCCCCTTTTTAAAAATGCGGTGAAAAATGCGGTAAGCAAAGCAGCCGGATCGAGAGAGGCACCTTCTGATCGAGCATGGTCTGCGCAGCCTGGCCCATCACGCTTTTGGCGTCGCTGGTCTTCTTGCGGTTGATGAAGACAATGCCACCAAGCCAGCAGACAATGCCGACCGTCCCGGCATATACGAGCTCCTTCTTGGCGATCATGGTGCAACGGTCGGGAAGGATCTCCATCATGCCTGAAATATGTGCGGGGGGAAGCACATACAAGCCAATCAGACATCCTCAGAAAGACAGGTCTGAGTTGGGAAATATGATCCTGTTCCACTCAAAGCCCTTCTTAGTTAATGACATTAGGTACATTATTAGGCTGTTTGATTCTGACACTACAAAAACTCAAAAGTCAAGTAGTACTTCAGAAAGTGGACCTCAGAACTAAAAATGAGCTTTACTGCACCTTCAAAACTTTTAAAGGCTTAGTAAGAAGTTTTCATAAGGTGCAAGAAATGATGATGTATCACATGAAAACCCATCAAGAGGATTTTCCCTGCAGATTTCCTTTAATAGCAGACCGACTTTTTATGAAAACAGCTAAAGGACTCCATGACCTGGAAAACCTTTATTTAAAAAAAATCATGCTACCACCTGTGATACCTTTCTGAATTCCTAATTAAAAACAAATAAACATACAAGTTATAGGGGTGTCTGTAGTCAAAATTAGTC